CTCAGCGGCTGCTCAGCTCGGGCTGACTCGAACCGCTGTTGCTCAGAGCTCAAACTCTTGAGCGAGCTCTTAACCAACTGAGCCACTCAGCCGGCCCTGAAACTGCTTTTGAAAGATAAAACTGATGGAACGCCCAGAGCTTCCAAGAATGTGGACCATTGACCTGATGCTTCTGGCTAGTAGAAAGTCTTACTAACAAAAAGCTGTGATGTACACGGTTATAGAAGAGACATGGCCATGTTGACAGTGACATCTGGACCTGGCAGGGGAAATAAGCCAACCCTGCCACCTTGGAGAGTTACCGGATTGATATTAATTGCTGTAATCAACTTGTTCAGGCAGCTGGGATGTGTATGGATGGTCAAAATGGCTGATAAGCAAACCTCCCAAGTCATGTCCACATGACTACGGCTTCACAGACAGAGAAGAATAACAATCAAGCAAAATAAGAAGTGAAAAGATTCTGTCTTTCTCCAAGTAATATCAACTGCAATACTAGAAGGGAGATCTTAAAAGTAGATTGCCTTCCTCGCTTTGCCCCTCATGTTGCTGAATGCATGATTCCTCCTGCATAATGGACCATTTCAGGTAAAGAGCTGAATCTTCATAAGTAATTAAAGAGTAACTGTCCCTCCCTTTGCATACAGTAGGCAGCAGGTCCAGGACGTAGATGCTGGCTATGTAGCAGGTATTCCATTAAAACCGAGTACATTTCCTCAATGAAGCGTCCAATCCCCACGTAAGAGAATCTCATGCCCTCCTTCAAGATTTTCCCCTCAAACTAGGTTGCTAGTCACAGCACCCTCTAGCAAAGCCCCCACAGCTATAAATAAAAAATAAAAAAATAGCACGCAGTTTTAAATTTGCCCGAGGAAAATTATCATGGAAAGAGGCCAGGCAGCCCATCCTAAGGGGTCTTAAAACGTATCCCTCACTGGGACTGTGTGGTCAGCAGTGCATTCAAGACAAAGGGACACTGTAGAAGTGACCTTTGAGACTAAGTTAACACTTCCAGGGTCACAGAATGTTTCTTGGTGAAAACAAATAAACACTAAGTAGAGTGACTCAATAACTCAGCCTCGTTGGAAATTCTTTCTGGTTAAATTTTAGGATAATTGGTTGAATATTTTTAAGTCTTAGAGACTTAAAAGACCTCTTTCAAATCCTTAAGACTCACACATACAAGGTGGCATTTGCCATTCCAACACACAGATGCCAAGTCCACCCTCGTCTTTGTGGGTGGTATGTAGAGAGGCGTCTCGAGGTGCTCGAATCTGGCATCCTGTGGCCCCCAGATTCATAGCCGTTCTTCCCTAGCAGGGCTGGGTAAATGCTGACAACAC